TGGAAACCTGTTGATGATTCTGTCAGCTAGAGGAATCCTTAAAACTGTCCACACAGTAGCCTGAGAGCTGTAATATGCAATAGTAAGTGGAAGAGGAGCATGGTATATATTCATCAAGTGGCTAAATGAACACAGCCCATCTCCAGAAGTTTCCTGCCCATTTAGAATAGAACACTGGGTTCCACAAAAGACTTTGGGACTTTGCCTGAGTCTGTCTTTTCTTTGTTCCCAACTGCACTCCCTATGGCTCCTCTAACTTGGTTCTAGATTTTTTGTTTGGCAGCCATCTCTCTGTCATGCCCTTGACTGTGATACTGTGACCTCTCTGAGTCTTATTTTGCCCTCATCTGGAATGCTTTATTTGTTCCTGTCACTTTGTGCTACAGTGTTTCTAGACCAGTCATTTCTCTTAACCCATTTAAGCACAGATATGGGGATTTGTCTAGTACAGTATATGCTTTGCACATTTTCTCTTGGCTTTGCTTTTGAAAGGAGGGAGGGAGACACAGATTCCTTCAAGCCATGCTCCTCTTCTCTGTTTTGTGGACTGTAGCTCTAGCCTGAGCTACTGTTGGTCCTTCATTTCCTACGAGTGAGTGTCCATGTGGCTAGGAGTCTCTTTCCTTCCCACCTCTCCTAGGCATGGCCAGCACTGATTCCTGCCTTGAGGAAAGCCTCTTCTTCATTTATCAGAATCTGAAGAACACCCTGAGCATAGTCTACTATCTGATCTGGCTCTTTTTGCACAAAACTACTTCTGCATGAGGGCGGGCCTTCCAGTTCTCTGCATCCCCAAAATGAAACCACCATTAGATTCTAATAAAGTAGATCAGAGAAATGTGTATACCAAGGTTGGAAAATAGATGGTAGATACATAGACCAATGTTGAAATGTTAGTTTCTGTCTAAGGCTGGGCAGAGTACTGAGACCTCTGCTTAGGAGAAGGTACATGAGTTAAGTAGGTACAAATAGCAGTGAGGGTGTGGTCAATAGGTCATTTTTAGTAGATTCTAAATGAAGGAAGTTTCTTCCCGAAGTTGGAAGTAGCGCATCTTTTTCTCCTGATGCTTTATATTTGAAGAATATAGATGAAGCATTAGTATGTGAAATCTTAATTTAAAAAAGACCAACCCATTCATCTGCTAGCCACTCCCAATCTTCCTCCTATATCATCTACTCATCCATCCATCCATCCATCCATCCATCCATCCATCCATCCATCCATCCATCCCAATCATCTGCCATCCATCTGTCCATTTCAACTGTTCATCACTCCATCCATCTAGTCATCCATTTATTATTTATTCATCATCTACCCACCTAGCATTTATCACTAACTCATTCATCTACCCACCAATCTACCCACTCATCCACCTATTTTTCCACCTACTCCTATCTGTCTGTTTGTCTGTCTATCTATCTGTCATCTTTTTATCTATGTGTAAGTGTATCCACAGGATTCATCAATCAAACATTGATTAATCACCAGACTTGTGTCTTTATTTGTGACAGCTTCCAGAGATAAGCACTGAAAGAGCTCAGAGTTTAGTGAGGTAAACACATCTATGAGCTGACAGGTAGAATGTTATGGAAGGGGGTGCATCCGGGGTGATATGGGGGTGGTTCAAAGGTCTATCAATACCTGGAAAAGAGCATTTCTCAAACCTGCTTCTTTGAACTACAATCCATTCACTCTCCCAAGCAGGCATAGTCGTGGGCGGACTAAAGGCTTTTTTTTTTCCTTTATGATTCATGTTCCACCTTTTCCTCTTCATTGCAGGCCTCTCAGCATTCATACATTTGCTGAGTGCCTTGATTCATTGTGATTAGAAGTGCTGGAGGACAAGGAGAGGCTACTGATTGTCAGTCTGGGCCCAAGCTGAAACATCGGTAGATTCTGCTCTGATGTGGGAGGGAATCCACAGGTGTGGGTGTGGGTCAAAGGGTCCTGACTGACTGAATAGCATCAGCTATGAGCATGGAATTCCATGAATGTCTTAAGAAATCTTCATACCATCAAGGACTCTCATCTTCTAGTTAAATCTTTTAGATGAAAAACAAAAACCCCTCCCCCAATTCTGTACCAACACATAGGTGACTTATATACCCTTTTAAGAACATCTCCATTAAGGCCTCACCCTCCACAGGGAGCAGAAAGGGAATAGGATGGGGGTTGGGGGGGTCAGAGGAGGAGGGGAGGGAGAGGAAACTGGGATTGACATGTAAAACAAGTTTGTTTCTAATTTAAATTTTATAAAAGGGAAAAAAGGAACATCTCCATTATAAGTTTGTATTCTAGAGAGAAAAAAAAAAACATCAATATGCTTCTGCAGAGGTAGGTGCTCTGGGGGCTGTTTTGCTGGCAAGATTATGAAGTTAGTCTTGTTCATTGAGAAAATGCTCCTCTAAGTTTGAAATTCTGGATACATAGAATTGTCATCAATTTCTGCATGGGGCAGGGACATGTTTCCAGTGGCAAGAATGTTATTTTCTTTGATGTTAGGTCAGCATTTGTGTGGTTTAGGCATCTAGAGAGTGGCAGCCATGACCTTGGCATGTAGCTTCCCTTTGGGCTGGGACCATTGTTTTGTTAGCAGTAATTAGTCATGTGGACACATTCTGGTCATTTCTGTTGTGTCCATCAATTTTCACCCCTATGTCATTAAGTCCATGGTGATCACAGCAAGGACACAGCTCAGTGGCAGACAGAACCAAACTCTTCATTATTGGCCAGCATAGAGGAAATGATCAGCTCTGCCTTGATGTGTTATAGTATGAAGGGAGAGCTAGTTTGAAATTGTGTATGGGTCTAATATAGCAGACATTTTGGGTGTTCTGTATCTTTTTTCTTTGATTTACTTCTGACTTCAGCTGTACTTGGAGGGACAGTTCCTGCTTATTTTTTGTCTAGAATCTGCTTCTGTTCATATTAGGATTAGTGATAGAGAATAATGCATGGGATACTGGGGGTAGTTAGAGAGGGGTGGGTGATACAGTAGAAGTAACAGGGATTCTTCCTATTTGTTCTCAGGAGCCCTGTGAGGTCAATATTGTCACCTATTTCTCTCCATTTATATCCAGTGATGTTTTCTGAAATATTTTTAGCAGGCTACTTGCTGCTTAGGTATGCAGAGATTGGTCCCTTTGACCTAGTTTGTCTGACTGACTATACAAGATATAATTGAGGGGCCCCAAACCTGTCCAAGAGTGGATGCTGTCTCTTTCTCACCTCTTTACTCATTCTCTTTTCCTTTGTGCTTTGATACCCTCTTGGAGGATGGAGTAGCATGATGGGAATTCCTTGAGAGCAAGGCCTCTTGGTTGTTGTGGTAGTTGGTGCCACTCCATCAGAGCCTCTGACCTCAGCTTTCCTGTACATGTGTCTGTCCTTTCTTCAATCCCTCACAACCGCAGTCAGGTCTCTAGACCCAAGTCATGTTGGCCATGGACATGGTAAAGAGAAACTGGAATACTAGTGTAAAGAGCAGAATTGATGTGACAGAGCCAACCTGTTCACTCAAACCAAGGATGGGAGAAGTTTGGCTCACCCCTTTGCTTGCTTGGGATGAGCAGAATGGCTGGATGCCAGAGTCTAAGGAAACTTGAAACACATGGGTGTTTCAGCATGGGTGGAGTTAGCCTGAAAGAGCAGGAGGTCTCTGCAAGCAAGGTACTCTCAGGCTGTAAACACTAGATGAGGAAGCTTCAGTTGTTAGTTTTTGAACACACTGGTCAATAGTTTGTAAACACTTGTACTTGCACATACTGCCATGTTTGCACTTGAACCAGAGGAAGGCTTGGTCAATTCTAAACCTGGCCTATATGGGGAAGGCTTTGCCAGTTTCCACAGGTCTGATGCATTTGTCCTTGACATGGCTAAGCCGATGCTGACAATATAGATTTATTCAAAACGTCATCTGTTTTGTTCTTTTCTTTTTCATATTCCCTCAGGGCTTCCTCAGCTTCCCCACACTCATAACTGGCACAAGCTCTGTGGCAATGGAGCTGTGTTTTCTCTATGGGCCAGTTTCACTGAACTAGGCCAACCTAATTTACAAATCCCAGATGCATCCAGGATGGCACTGCCCATCAGACATAGGAATCTCTGCCACTTCTTCACTGCTGTACCATCATCCAGGCCACTGTTCATTCTGGATCTAACAGTGACTAGGGTATTTTTTTCCTATGTCCAGGCTTAATCACCAGCTTTCTGTGCATAGCTTCATCAGTGGCATCCATCTCTTCAAGTCTTCCCTGCTCCTCCTCCTTAGCATATCCTATAAGGCTCTGCATGGCAGCATCTTGGCCTCCTCTTGATCCTTTCAGATCATGTTGTTAGCTTCATCAGATTGGACAGAGAAGTCAGCCAACCATGGCCCGAATCTAGCACAATGTTTATTTGGATAAATGATGTTTCATTGGTTCACAGCTGCACACTTTGCTTATGAGTTACCTCTTGATATTTTCATGTTTTAACAGCCTTGCTGAACAGTAGTCAAAAGAGACTGTAAGATCCCCCCAAAGCCTAGGTTTTACTATCTGGCCCTTAACAGAAAATTTTGATGGCATTTAAAACCCCAAGGGAGGCTTTGATCCTTTATACTTTGATCCTTTTACACATGTTCGGCCAACCCTTTAGCACACTCATCTTTATCTTACTGCTCTGTGTCTTGTTATCTGAACAGGTGATGCACCTGCTTGCAAACCTCAATCATGATGCTGAGCACACTGGTTCTCCTTGTTGCTGTGTGAATATGCCCCTATTCCTATTTCTGAGGCAGATTAGGGGTTCTTTTAGCCTAACTTCAACACTTGGGTAGCTGCTAAAATGAAAAATAAGAAAGAAAATACCATAGATACAGAGGGTCCTTGTCCACAAAGCTCACAGGACTGGAGGAGAAGATACTGTTGATTTCCATACCACCCCAACCTTTTGCTCCTCAGCCTGTTTTTTTGGAAATGCATCAGAAGAGAGAGAGATTCACTCTTTCTCTTTGCAGATCTCCAATCTCTACCTGTATGACAGTGTTCTGATGCTGGCCAACGCCTTCCACAGGAAGTTGGAGGACCGGAAATGGCACAGCATGGCAAGCCTTAACTGCATAAGGAAATCTACCAAACCATGGAATGGAGGAAGATCCATGCTAGACACAATTAAAAAGGTATGTGTGAGGGGGCACTGCTTTGTAAACTTGTCCAAGGCTAGAGATAAATCCCTTACTGTGTCCTGACTCAGTTGGTATAAAGCTGTTTTATAGTGCATGTATGTTTGCATGCGTATGTATGTGTGTGTATATTTGTTTGTTAGAAAGATTGTCTGAGTCCTCTTTGTAGGGTCCTCTCTTTGTCACTCTTCCTGTGCCTATTTGAAAGCTGAGTGAATTGTGGTTCAGGGACATGTGCTTCAAATGTTTTCACACTGTCAAGATATCTGGCTTCAGAAGGTTAAATGACTTGCCCAAAATCACAAGTAAGTAAAGTCATAGTTGCCTGTCCTATGCCTGCCCAAAACTCTTTCATGCAACCTATCACTTTTCAGCAAAAGCTCATCTTAGTTGGTATGGCCATATGTTGCTTATCTGGGACCCTAGTATGTGCATGTATGTGAGAATGTGCATCCATTTTTGTCCATGTGTGTCTATGCATTATGTATATGTAATATGTCTTATGTGTGAGAGAGTGGCCCTGTATCAGAGGATAGATTCAAAGTGAATTGGGATAATTCACAGGAGAATTGTTAGAGTAACAGAATTTTAGAGACTTCAAAGGAACATTTAGGGAAACCTACAATGCCAGGAACCTTAGTCACAATAAGTTGTACATGGTTCCAGTTACAACAAATGTGTTCCAGTGTTGGTTTAAATTGACTGCATCTCAGAGACAGCAAGGCCTTTCCTAGACCAGTTCAGCTTATGGTGCACTCCCTGCCCATTGAAGTCATAGGCAAGAAGACTGGGTAAGATTCACACCACAAACTGAAAGATAGAAGGGAGGCTGTCCCAACTTGTTCAGTTCCACAATGTCTAGAGCTCCTGTAGATTCTACTCAACTGTAGAGAGTCATGGTACTCACATATTTACCATAGCCATTCTGTGCCAGATATTGTGCTCTGAAAATACCTTTTTCTTCATCTGATGGGCTTTGTGATATAGATCTGATTAACTCCCAGGTAAAAGTGGGAGATGGGCAGTGATCTGCCCAGGATGACACATGAAACAAAGCCAGGAAGCCTAGAGCAATGCTCATATTTGCTGCCTAAATTTAAAGCATATGTTGAACACAAATATTGTTGACTTTTTACTTCCCCTTGTGTCAGGACAAGTGAAACTTCTGGAACAAGTTGCAAAGCTAAAGATCAAACTTCAGGAGTGAATAGACAAACACAATCACATTTTAATTTCATGGCTAGCACAGCACTGACACATAGCAATAGATGTTAACACATTGACTGCAGTAATGGCAGGTAAAAGCGTGTGGGATTTCTTCCATAAGACTAAGACAGTCTGAGAAGAATTTATTTTGCTCTGATGTTCTAGGGTTGTTAATGACTCTGTCATATCTGCTCTCCTCTTGGTCACTCCATTCTCTACCATATCAAACTCTTACCACCTCCATTTGTCTTTTCCTCCTGTCCTGCAGGGACACATCACTGGCCTCACAGGAGTTATGGAGTTTCGGGAAGACAGCTCAAATCCCTACGTCCAGTTTGAAATCCTTGGCACAACCTATAGTGAGACCTTTGGCAAAGATATGCGCAAGGTAAGCCCTGAGGTAATCATCTCCTTGTCTTCTTGCTTCAGTGCCTCTGAAGACAGCAACAACTCTAGTTCATGCCTCCTGTTCTCAGCAAAGGCTAACTGAAAGAGGAAGTCCCTTCCCACTCTATTCTTTTGGTTTGTTTGTTTGTTTGTTTTTTGAGACAAGGTTTCTCTGTATTGTTTTGGAGCCTGTCGTAGAACTCGCTCGGTAGACCAGGTTGCCCTCAAACTCACAGAGATCTGCCTGCCTCTGCCTCCAGAGTGCTGGGATTAAAGGCCTGCACCACCAACGCCCAGTCCCACTCTGTTCTTGATGCTGCCATTATTGCCGGTGTTTCTGTGAAACTCTGGGGAGAAGGCACAGAGCAGTTTCAGGTAGGAAGTGGTAATAGAAGAAACCTGAGTCAAGCAGGGAGGTTCCTGGGAACCATTTCCTGTTCCATGGACTAGTAGGAGCCTGCCTGGCTGCTAAAGGGGCAACAGGTTTACTTAGAGTTGAGAAGTCAGACTGGCTTCTCACAAATGTGAGACAAATGTGAATCATGGCTGAAGCTGGTGACAGAAGTTACAGCCAATGTGTCTGCCAGACTCAGGGGTGAAACAAAGACACCTGGAGTCCAGTGGAGAGGGAAATGGAGCCAGGAGAGCAGGATGGCTCAAGGTATGACTTGGATTTTTTATTTGATGCAGACCTGGAAGGCCAGAGGGGTTATTTCCAGTGGTACTGTGTCTTTCTTCTAATGGACAACGAAGATGCTATTGTAACAGTCAAGGGCTTGGAATCGTGAATTAAAAGACAGCCCTCATATATGATCTGGATGAACCCGGGCGGGGCTTATAATGAGTATGAAGGAAGGACAGAGGCTGCTACCTAGTGCCTGGTCTACTCAATTGCCTTGTAAGCTTTTCTAGAAATGTTCTGTACAGGAGGACTGTGTGCACAGAGATGGTAGTGCTGATGTGCAGGAACTCAGTCCTCTTGGGAAAAGATAAAAGCATTCATTGATTGGTCTACCCATGGTACAGGCTCATGTAATCACATATAACCCTTGCCATATACTGTGGGGGATGGGGGGTGGAGGGGGGAGTGGGGAGGTCTTCTCCAGTGACAGTACTTCAGAGATAAAGAATGTCCTTGTGAATAATGAAGCCTAAGCAGGTGTTCTATAAACTCTTATCAGAGAGGCCTGAGCCAAGTTGGGAACAATGCATAGGCAGGGAGAGTTTAAATGATTGTGATGCACTACTTTGGAGGACTTTGGTTTTTTTCGAGTTTAAATGATAATGATGCACTACTTTGGAGGACTTTGGTTTTTTTCCTAGAGGATCAGGGAAGAGATTTGAATGTGTGGAAGTGGAGAGATGGGCGCTACAATACAGGAATGGGCAGTGGCAGCACACATGGGGGAACTAACTCTCCGGGGAAAGGCTACTATTCCCTGGGGTCCAGTATAATGAGTAGAATGGAGCCTTTCAGCCATCCTGTAATGGAAGATGGGGTTAACAGTTAGTCATATCAAGTCTAGGGATGGCCAGTGCATATAGCTTGATGATATCTTAGAACCTAACAGTTTGTGTGTGGTGCCATCCAGAATATTAATGACTATGCTGTGATACCCAATAAAGTTAAAGTGTGATTGGCATTATCAAGGAGGTTGAAGCTGGCTTATGATATCTGTAAGGGATTGCCCCAAACTGTGACACTTGGTTGAGGGCTAGAGCTGAATGGTTGATACTGGTCTGGGCCAAGACTATAAGAAAAAAATTGTTTTTTGTTGAGATTTTCATCTGTTAAGAGGACACAAGGAGAGGGGAGCTCATTCAGTCACTCTGCTGTGATTGCAGAGTGTGGGAGTCTGCTGAAACCACTGTTCACATCAACACTATGCATGGGTGTGTTATCCTTGAGTGGTCTTCTGAATTAGTGACTTTAGTCTTGTCTGCTAGTTCCTTCAGTATCTCTCATCCTATTCTTTTAGCTCAGCTCCAAGTCCAGGGTTCCCACAGTGTGTGAAATGTTGGCAGTGGGTCTTCTGCTTCCTCTTAGACAGTCCTGTCAACCTCATGCCTGTACCCTGCTGGCCACTCCAGGTCCTTGAATGAGGAGAAGCAAGGTATCCTTCACTTACCATTTCAGGTGTCTGGGTCTTCTGTGTTGCTAAGGCAACATCCTCAAAAATCTTGAAGCCAGTGGGAGCTGGAATCTCTCCATTATAAGGAGCTTCAGAGCAGGAGGTCTAGATGTAATTGAGTTGGAAGGGAAGCTGATTTTCAAGTGGGATTTATTTTAAAATGTATTCTTTTGTCATTTTAAAACCTGCCCTTAATAACTGCATATCCCAGTTGTTATCTGTCTGCCTAGCAGCTTATCATCGGGAACGAGAAGCTGTGTGGGAGGCAAGGAATAGGATTTACTATGGCAAATGTTTGCTATTAGGACCTGGGTACATTTAAGAAAGATGGGATGGGGTTCAGGATGAAGTGAGGAGACAGATTAGGAGTGGGTGTCAGGGGCACACTGCAGCCTTTGAAGGTAAAATAGGGCCTCAAAACCCTGCTGGAAAATAATGGGAAGTCAGAGTGCCTTTAGGAATATGATAAAGAATATTGACATAGGGTCAAAATAACTGAGAGTGGGTGTAAGAATTGAGGTAGTTTGGTGTGTTCTGAGCCATACAATGACAACATAAAGACAAGTCCTCTAAGGAGCTCTAAGTTGGTGGTTTTCTGTGACCCCTTACTACACATGGTCACCAGGAGAATCAACTGGAAAGATGACTGAGTTCTGTTTCCTAAGTGAGGTTTGTGCTTTTCTGCCAAGATGATGCATGCCACATATATTTAAATTGAAAAGCAAGTACAGCAAACAAAGGCTAACAAAAGCCAAGAGTTTTCTGAAGCTTGAAACCAAGAGGAGTCATCTAAATTAGGGGAACATAGAGATATTTGTCTTAAACTAAATATCTTGGAGAGACCTCTCTGGGAGGGTGAGTCACCCAGTCACTTTAGTTTAAGTGGCACCAGGATACTATGGATTACTCAGCCTGTGAATAGGAAGGAGTGGGTGATAGCCTTTCCCTGTAGGGTGCTGGGCAAATACTGATTAAATTATCTCAACCAGGAAGAGTGTTCTTGAGGAGGGAGCACGGGATAGCAAAATCAAAAGTTTATGAGATTGTTTCCAGCCAGCCTGCTGTGAACTACAAATGCTAATCTTCTGCTGCTGGGATTGGACCGTGTCTCCCCCTGTCTGGGGGAGGTGTTTGCAAGGAAGTCTCTTCCCTTTGCAGTAAAGTTGGTTGGTTTGTTTGGAGTGTCTCCACTCTCTTTCTGATTGGCAGCATGCTTTTTCCCACATATATTAGAGGCCACCTACAGTAAAATTTCCCAAGATGGGAATTTATGGAGATTACTTGGCATAGAACAGGAGGGAGTGTAACAGAAACCATTGAACACGTACTGTATACAGAGTGCATTTATAACAATGATTCCTTATTGATGCCAAGGTCATTGGGTCTTCCTGGCCCCACCTCTCATGAGTTTCAATGGCCTCTTTCCTTGCATGGCTCTTCCTCAGACAAAAGTGTAGGCAGTGATTCTCATCCTCAGGATTCCTTGCCTGTGAAACAGAGGACCCGTCCGAGTAATTGCCCTGCCTGTCTCTTAGCAGGGAGAGCGTTCCTGTTTAGTTGGTCCATCAGCATTAGCCACCTGAGGTCATGAGTGCAGAACAGACAGACATAGATTCCTGCCACATAGTTTTATGGACTATAGTAATTCATCATACAGAATGCTAAAAACAGAGGCCAGAGACAGGCAGCAGCCCAGTGCAGCCCTGAGCAAGTGTGTCTGGCATTACTAAGTTTAGTGTGTCATGCTATGCCCAGCTCTTCTTGTATGCCTAGGATCAGATTTCCACTATTTAAAAAGACACAGGTATGAATTGAGTCTTACGAACTTTACTTATGAATGAGATTTTATATTGGGGGATGTATTGTATCTTTGTGATCAATGGAAGATGATAAACATGGATATTAGATTCTGCCCTTTGCCTCAAACAATTTTCCTGGATTGTGATACCAGTTGAGGTCCAGAGGGCCATCTTCTATTACCCAACAAGTGAGCTTGCCTACTATTCTCCATCCTAATAACATTGATGTAGGGGGCCTTGTTTCCTTCTATTAGCACAGTATCCCATGTACAGCAGGACTCTGGGAAATATGCCCACTGCCTACAGGTGCTTTGAATGTCATTTCCCTGGGTGGCATCAACTTGATTCATTGGCTCAGTGAAGAGCAGAGAATTTCTTGGGGAGAAGGGTGGGGAAGTAGGAGGAGCATCCACATGGCCTGTGGAGTTTGCTTTAAGACTTATACATTAGGATTGAGGAGACCCTAGGGTAGCTTTAGAGAACTTGAGAAGAAAATTGAATGAGGACCAAGAGAGGTGGAGAAAGTGTTTAGCTCAATGGCATTCAAGCTACTCTTTGGTTTCAGAAATCTGGTCAAGCAGGCTCTTACTGGTTCCTAAATATATTAGACAACCGCAGAGGACACATATTATGGTTGCAGTAGGCAAACAGTTTGAGTAGGGAGATCTGTGCCCTTTTTTTTGGAGTAACTTCTCTGTCCTTCAGAGCTCTGTGGTTTGATGTACACGTTTTTTTCTTTTTACTTTATGAAAATTGAGGCCCACAGACTAGAAAAACCTTAACACTTTCCGTGACTATCTTGGTGCTTAGAAGTCAGAGAGACAGAGAGAAGGAGGAGAGTGGAGGGAGGAAGAGCGGGGGGGGGGGGGGAAGGGGGGGGGGGGGGGAGGAAGAGGAAGGAGGAGAAAGAGCTGGGAGATGAGGGGATGAGAGGTTAGGGAAGGGAGGAGCAGAGCCTTCTTGAACATGAGGCAGTACAGTTTTGTGATTCTGTCTCTACTCCTATCTATTCAACTCCAGTGTCCCTTCTCCCCCAAGCCACCACATTAGGACACTGCCATCCCTTCCTG